GTTTTTTTATGAAACACTAAATCAATGTACCAGAGATTAATCTCATCTCACCTCATCTCATCTCATCTCCCTTCATCTTGTCTTATCTTACCTTTTGTATCTTACTTTATCCCATCCCACCTCACCTCACCTCAACTCATCTCATCTCCACCCAACCCCACCCAACAAAAAAAATTATAAACAATAAAAAAACAACCGCATCCTTGTCAGTTAAGATAAATCCCTAACAACAACACCTCCAATCTCTCCCACACACAGACTACACAGATCACTACTGTAACCGGCCGTGCGAAGAGAACGCGGCCCCAAAGATCTGCAGGTACAACTTTCTGATAGAACACTACATCACCATGTCCCCGGCCTGCCACAAGTGCAGCACCGACCACCGGGACTGCTTCCTGCCCCAGTGTGTCCCGGGGGACGGCAGGAAGAGGGGAATCCTTACCGTCAACCGCATGCTGCCAGGACCTTCCATATCTGTACGTTTTTCTTATTTTTTGGTGGGGTGGGGGAGGGGGGTTCTTTTTGTTTTGTTTTGGTTTCTTTGCTTTGTTTTGGGTTGTTTGTTTTAAGGGGGTAGGGTGTTGTTTCTTTGTTTGTATGTCTGTTTGTTTGTTTGCTTGTTTGTTTTGTTTGTATGTTTTTATGTGTGTATGTTTGTACGTATGTATACATGTTTTTTTGTTTTTTGTTTTTTGTTTTGTTTTTGTTTTTTTTGTTTGATTGATTGTTTGTTTGTCTTTGGGTGTGTGTGGGAGGAACAAGGGGGGGGGGGGGTTGTGATGCTTTGTATTTGTAAAAGTACAGGTGTTTTACTCCACCACCAATAGTATTATACTGAACGCCATTAAACACCCAACGTTTTCAAAAAAAATATTTAAAAAGCTTAATATACTCTGATCGTCACGCTTTATGAGACACAAGTGAATAGTTGTTAGTCCACACGCCACACACCCATACCCAATTTTTTAAAATGTCCATCAGTACTTTTCATCAGAGTACAGTAAACTATACTTTTGTAAAATGTGTTAATTAGCTACTATATTATAAAAGGATACAAAATTATTTACCTGACAGATAACCCATAGCTCTTTCCAAACAAAAGTCCTAACATTTTTTCGATCGATTTTTAAAAAAATGTCTTTTATTACGACTCCTCAACTTAGCGAAGCTGATCGCAACTTTCGCTTCCGCCTTGTTCATGTCGTAAAACGTGCCTGAGAAGCAGCAATAGGCTAAAATGCAGTTCTTGCAATGTTCTCGACTTATACTAAGATTTTAGCACACTTGAAATGTCCTGGATGTGGAAAGAATAGGACAGTCTCGAGTGACGAGCCGTGTTCAAGAGATGCAGATTTTTCTGTTGCATCTGCGGAATCGTTTTGCTTCTCAAAAGTAGCAGCTCGTAGTGCATGAAAATGTTTCTTTCATCAGTGTGAGGCGCGGAGCAGTAACTACAGGACTTGGATCGAGAACGTCTTATTTAGGACTGCAGTTAACAAAACTGCAACAACAGCGTCGTCTTCCCGGTGCCAAACAGCACAGAGAAAAAAACAGAATCTCTCAGTAAAAACTACCCAAGAATCATGCTCCTGTCCATTCCAGGGAAGATTTTAAGTCGTACCATACTGGAAAGACTGAAGGAAGCCGTAGCTGTAAAACTAAGAGAGGAGCACGCAGGATTCCGTAAAAAGAGATCAAGTACAGATCAGATTGCAACTTTGAGGATAATAGTGGAGAAGTCCACAAAGTGGAACTCTTCCCTGAGCATTAACTTTGTTGAATATGAGAAAGCTTTTGACAGCCTAGATAGGGACTCAATATTGGAAGCTCATGCGCCACTACGGAATACCTGACAAGTTTGTGAGATTGATCAAGAAGATGTATGAGGGAATGAGTTGCAGTGTCTTACTTGGAGGGCAACGGACAGACTCGTTTGAAGTGAAAACAGGAGTGAGAGAGGGAAGCCTGTTATCGTCTTTTCTCTTTTTATTAGCAGTGGACTGGATAATGAGACAGACAACATCAGGACACCACGGTGGCATACAGTGGACCCTTTCCAGTTAGTTGGAAGACTTGGACTTTGCCGACGACTTGGTACTTCTTTCTCACAGTCGAGCCCATATGCAACAGAAGACAAATCGTCTCAGGAACTTCTCCCGTAGTGTTGGACTTTAAAGTTCTTAAAATGAATGCAGCCGACGCTCCGATCACATTGCAAGGGGCACCATTGGCGGATGTTGAATCCTTTACCTTCCTGGGAAGTGTCATCAACAAGGCAGGGGGGCACAGACGAAGACATCAAAGTCAGAATCCAAAAGGCAAGAGCAGCATTCAGCATCCTCAGAAATATAAATGGATGTCTAAGGAACTGGGATTGAACACCAAGCTGAGGATCTTCAAAACAAAC